CTGTAACCCCCTCTGGCCCCTACAACCCTCCCTCTCTCTGTAACCCCTTCTGGCCCATTGAAGGCCCCATCCCACTCTCACTGGAATTGAACCAGAAGTTGCTAAGCAGGAGCTGCAACCAGATGAATGGGAAAGGCTCTTATTCAAAATGACTCAGTGCCTGTACAAGCAACCCCTCCCATGGCAACTACCGAAATTAGAAGCTATCAGCCTCTGATTGGCTTAGAGCTCTCTAGTAGGAAGGAGTCAGAGCAGATTAGATGAGCCAGGCCTGGAAATGGCAGCTGCTGGTGAGGTAGAGAGTTGGTGAGGATTTGAGCACTGTCAGATCTGTGTGATCACTGGGAACACGCCTAGAAATCCAACTGCTTCACCTGTACTTATCTGAAGAAGCAATATCACTTTATCTGATGTGTCCTGGGCAAAGTCAGATCAAAGCTTAAGAAGCCTGGGGAACTCTTATCAGTAACCTCTGTGCAGCAACATTAACATGTATGTATCCAACCTTTAAATAAATGTGCCTTAAACAAAGATAAAGAGAAGCAAATACTGAGATTCAATGGGGTGTGTTTCCATCCGGAAGCAGTCTTTATCAGAATGCGAGACAACAAGGTGCAGGGCTGGATGAACACAGCAGGCCAAGCAGCATTATAGGAGCAGAAAGGCTGACGTTTCGGGCCTAGACCCTTCATCAGAAAAGGACGAGGGGAAGGGGGTTTTGAAATAAATAGGGAGAGAGTGGGAGGCGGATAGAAGAGGGATAGAGGAGAGGATAGGTGGAGAGGAAACAAACAGGTCGAAGAGGCGGGGATGGGGCCAGTAAAGGTGAGTGTAGGTGGGGAGTTAGGGAGGGGATAGGTCAGTCCAGGGAGGACGGACAGGTCAAGGGGGCGGGATGAGGTTAGTCGGTAGGAGATGGAGGTGCGGCTTGAGGTGGGAGGAGGGGATAGGTGGGAGGAAGAACAGGTTAGGGAGACGGGGACGAGCTCCAGTGAGTTCGACAGACATGATCTACATTTAACAAATGCATACTTTTTTTTGTTTCAGAGTGAGCCCGTACTCACCCACATGACTGCCCATTGTACACCACACTATCATCTTTAAAAGCTTCCACATCAAGGTTCAGCTAATTCCCCTGTGGCATGACAGGAATTGTTATCCATATCAGAGGGCACCACACAAAAGATTCTAACACCCTTGTTTGAAGGACAGAACTTCTGACCCATTCAGCAATGCACTATCCAATTTGAATTTGGAGCTGCCATATGGAGGTACGCACTAATCTGTAGACATTATTTCATATATATTCTATAGAGGTACACACACAACATATACAATGCCACCATCTAATGCTATTAATTTGATAAGGCAGGTAAAGAGCAGTCAAAGTTGCGGTTATTTTTAAGTGAAATGTACAAGAGCTGAACAAAGCTATGAGCAGTTATGAGCCACCCCTGCTTTACCTGTGGTTGTGAGGACAGTGGCAGCGAAGAAGAGGGAAGAGGTGAAGTCCCAGTTCCACTTGCCAGTGCTGTTGTTTAACACGGACACCCCATAATTGTTGGCCTCTAGGACCTGGCCTAGGAAACGCTCCAGGCTGTCTGGGGCTAGGCATGGGTTCTCCTCCAGAAACTGGTCCTTCAGCTCCCTCAGTTGTTGGCGGAGGTTGTCTTCGTAAGGCAGCTCAATTGAGGAGAAGATCAGGGCGCCGAAGCTCAGGTAGAGCAGATAGGCAAGAACCAGTAGCGCAAAGTAACAGCTTGACCTGTTGCTGTGCATCAAGCGGAGGCAAGGGTTAGTACTGCCCAGAGCTTGGAACATCTCCCCAGCTGACAACTAGTAACACAGGGGAGGAGCTGAAGAGCTGGCTTTGTGATAGCACTGAGCTAGACTGACCTAAAGTCCCCACTGTTACTTTAGGCTAGTATGCACACCCAATGTTACTGTAGGCTAGGCTATAGTCCCTAACGCTATTCTAACTGGTGTACACACCCAATGTTCCTCTAGGTGGGTGTACAGTCCTATACATTAACACTAGACTGGTCTAAAGTCTCAAACGTTACTCTAAGCTGGGATACAGACCCCTATGTTACTGTAGGCTGGGATACAGTCCCCTATGTTACTCTAGGCTGGGATACAGTCCTCTATGTTACTCTAGGCTGGGATACAGATCCTCATTGTTACTCTAGGCTGGATACAGACCCCCATTGTTACTCGAGGCTGGGAGAGTTTCCGATGTTATTCCAGTCTGCTCTGTAAAGTTCCCGATGTTGCCCCGACTGTTCAGTGGAGTCGCGATGTAAGCAGTTCTCTGAGAGGCAGGTGTAATAATAGTCTGTTCTGCGGAATTCTCCAGGTTCCCCTGTGTGTTCTCTGCAGTTAGGGTTTACTTGCCCGGACTGACCGGTCTTGCTGCCTTCCTGCTGACTCTGACCTGTTCCTTCCGCATCAGACAGCAGTCAGAGGCGAGGATGTGGGAGCTGCTCCTGACGTCTTCAGGTAAGTGGAAACCACGAGGCTGTCAAACCAATAAACTGCCTCAACATCGTCCACCCCCGCTCAATACTCCGATCAATGGTATCTGTAACCCAGCGGCGCTGAGAGGCTTCTGTACAAACTCTCAGGGAATTGCTGTCCCCTCGCTCGCTACACTTCCCCAACACACACACACACTTCCCCCCCCCCCCCC